TATCCTTGGTTCTTTGTAGCATTTTTAAGCTGATACGCGGGGGTTTATCTTTCCAAAGGAATTTGGAAATATATGAATCCTGCCTTGTGTAGCTGTAACAAGACTTTGTTTAAAAAGCGAACACTGCTATATTATTCCCATCTGATTTAGGTATATTTATTTGATTGAACAACTCCTACAGTTAATTACTGGGAATGTAACCTCTGTGCTCCCGCTAGGGATTAATCAGCTCAGTAAGCTCCTCGATCTTATTGTCCAAAGACCTCACATTACCTGTGATCACTGGAACAGCTCCAGCAGTGACACTCCTTTGTTGTCTTCATAGCTCCTCGGGTATTATGGCAGTCGACCTGCAGGGAAATTTCAAGAGCTAAAATGTTAAGAACTTTAAATTTTCAGTGTATGGAAATGTATTAAGGCCATTTCAATACACTGAAATGCCCTTAACATCATACAGTTTTGTATGTTAACTGAAATAAAAAAAATAGGTATTATTATTTTTCCAATTGTGTAATAACTTTCTACATATCTCTTACTGCAGTTATCGAGGATCAGGGTGGCTGTTCAAACTGACTGTAAATCAGTTACAATAGAAATTAAAGCTCTACAACTCCATCACAAACCATTAGCTGCTGGAATAGTCAAGGAGCCACTGGGGATGGACGACATCACACTAAATATCGCCATCACTGGAGAATCTGGTTCTGGCAAATCCACCTTTGTAAATGCCTTCAGAGGCATCAGTGACGAAGATGAGGGAGCCGCTCCGACCGGCATTGTAGAAACCACCTCAGAGGTCACACCGTACCCCCATCCAGAGTATCGTAATGTTACTTTATGGGATCTTCCTGGAATCGGCACCACCAAGTTTACAGCTGATAAATACCTGGAGCTTGTTGGATTTGAGAAGTTTGACTTCTTCATCATCATCTCAGCTGCTCGGTTCAAAGAGAATGATGTGAAACTCGCTCAGGAGATTCAGAGGATGAAGAAAAAGTTCTATTTTGTTCGCTCAAAGATTGACAACGATATAAATGCTGAGAGAAGAAAGAGAGACTTCAGTGAAGAGAGGACTCTGACAACAATCAGAGAAGACTGCATTCAAGGTGAGTGACCTCATTCAGGTGCAAAATAACATAAGTCTGAAAAAAAATCAGCTGCATGGGATATTTTTGTTATATGTTATGGGTTTTTTTTAAGAATCCAAAAACAATCTCCATGCCCCTCCATCTCATAGTTTCTTAGCAAAACACGAGGATTTTTTAAAAAAAGCACAAAAAAATCAATGTTTTATTACAACTAACTATGCATAATTGTTCTGAGATTCATTACCTTTGGTTATGAACAAAATAAACCTGTTGGGACATGATCATCTGAGTTCTTCATACTGCCAATTAATGTATGAAATGATTATTGGATATGTTTTTTTGACTCAGGTATAGGATACCACCAGATTGCAATTTCAAAAGAGAAATTTTTACGTTTAATAAAAACTAAAACTATGAGTTTTACAAATAAACCTGATAAAATGGGGGGAAAAAATATTTATATATATACCGGTATATAAAAAATCGATGTCTCATTCACTCTTGGCATACAGAGAGAGAGAGAGAGAGAGAGAGAGAAAGAGAGAAAACACCTGTTGGAAACAATGACTAAACAATAACCTGAAACTCACAATGCTATTCCACAGGGTTGCAGGAAACTGAAGCTGAATCAACTGATAATTCTCTGTAACTAATATTAAGAACAGCTAGCATTTTATATTATATATTTATGATCGTCACATCATGTTTTCCTTCTGTGACACAGGAGTCAGAGGACTGGGCATCAAGTCGCCACAGGTCTTCCTGGTGTCCAGCTTTGAGCTCCACCTGTACGACTTCTCTCTCTTACATGAGACCTTAGAGAGAGAACTTCCTGAACTCAAGAGAGATGCTCTGCTGTTTGCTACACCCAGTTTCAACCTGGAGATCATCAGCAAGAAGAAAGAAGCTTTCAAGGTAAGATTGTATTGCTGCTGTGTTTAGGATCATTGTCCTGTTGATCAGTTAGCAGTACCTGGCTGCTGCT